GAGGGCTCCATAGGTCTCAAGGGAGGCTCTATAGTGTACTTTAGGAGTCGAGCCTCGATTAAGGGGAGGTTGTTCAAGGGCTCCATAGGTCTCAGGGGAGGCTCTACAGTGTACTTTAGGAGTCGAGGCTCGATTAAGGGGAGGTTGTTCGAGAGCTCCATAGGTCTCAAGGGAGACACTATAGTGTACTTTGTTCGAGGGGAGGATTGTTAGAAGGGAGTCCCACGTTGACAAATTTAAGGAATGATCGTGAGTTTACAAGTAAAGAATAACTTTAATGGTCTAAAGCTTTTTTAGTAAGCTCAAAACAAAGCCACGAGAATTTATTGTTCAAAGTGGACAATATCATACTATGGTAGAGGCCTGTACTTTCTAATTAGTATCAGAATCATACTCTAAGTTAGTCATATCAATAAAATACTCAAACGGGCAAAAATTCAAAATTAGCTTCAATTCAAAGCTAAGAAAACAATCCCAAAAAAAAAACACCTGAAAGTGAAGAGACTGTCTTCAAAGCCTTCTGCTTGGCCCTGTCATCATGTAAATCCAACTTCAATATGACCTTCTGCAAAACCCAGAAATCACAGACCAAAACCTGAGATCTATACTTAAAAGGGTCCACATCACAAATCAATTAAAAAATGGGGGAAACAAAAAAAAACCCTTTAAACAAAAAGAAAAACCCATCAGAAAAACATAATCAGAATATAAAAAAAAAAAAAAAAAAAACATTAAAAAAACAGAGACAGAATCATCAGAATTAACACATTTGTCGAGAAAGTTGAGATTTTTTCTTCTGGAATCCTGATGAATGAATCCAAGCTCTAAAACCCATGTCTTAGATTGTTGAAAAAAGCACAAAAGAAACACCATTTTTGAAGAAGAAGAAGAAGAAGAAGAAGAAGAAGCAGAGACCTTCATAGCTGGGGTATGGCGTTACTGAGAGATGGAGAGAGTGAGGGTGTGTGTTTGGGCAGCCGTGGTACCATAGATAAAAGAAAGTGAGGGGGAAATAGTTGAAAACTTTGAGAGTCCAAACAAGAGATGGGCAGAATTGGGGAGAGAGAAAAGGGAGCTGTTTTTTTTTTAATAAAGGTGAGAGAGATGAGATGGTGGAGATTTGAAGGTGATCTATAGACTCAGACCTAGCCACTCTGTCCTCATTTCTAACCCAATGCATTGCTTAACCTCGACCGACACCTCTGCACATTTGTTTTGTTTTGTTGACGTACATTTGGGGTTTTCTTTTGCGTCACACTCACGCGCCGCCTTTTCTCCTTCTTCTCCTCTTCCATGCCTGATCCTTGGTCCTACTCTCCCTTGGTATTCCGGATCTTCTTCCTTTTTATGCTTTCGGTTATTCCACTAATTTCATATCTCAAACAAAGGGTGTGCTTTATTCGAGGCGGTGGAGAAGACGTCGAGTCTCGATTAAGTAGAGGTTGTTTGAATGCTCCATGTTAGATGATGAAGGTCCCACTTCCGCTAATTTAGAGAATGATCATGAGGGGGATTTTATGCTCAAAGTGAACAATATCATACCATTATGCAGAGTCGTGTTCATCTAACACTCCATAGACCTTGGGGGAGGCTCTATAGTATACTTTGTTCGATGGGAGAATTGTAATGGACAATATCATATCATTGTGTGTTCATCTAACACTCCATAGACCTCGGGGGTGGGACTTCATGCATTATTGTGTGCTCATGCATTGGGGGATACCCCTTATCCTTCACGATAGTACAAACGCCTATGCTAATCATAATGCTGTCGTGATGGTCGCTATTCCTAACGGGTGTCCAACATCAATAGCTACTAGAGAATGCTCGCCCAACCAGAAAGGGGCCCAGGAGGTGTGTCAACCGAATAGTAGGTCCATACTCACACGTACGAGCTGTGTGTAGGAAAATTAAAGTATACATCCAATTGCTTGTTAGAATAGTTGCCATAAGAAAATAGACTGATATGATAGGTCTCATTCATGAAATTTTATGTGTTTGTATTTAACCTCAACAGTGGGTCACAGACTGAATATTTCTTACAATACTCCCACATGCTACTTTTTTTTCAATATATTTTGTCTAGATTCTATTATATAAAACATATTTAACTATGAAGTTATTGAGTTATCGGAAGAAAAAAAATTATATTTTATTGATATAGAGGGTAACTATAAAGTTTATATTATTAAATATACAGATAGAAACAAATTAAAAAACATCTCCTGGAAAATCTCATTTCTCATTTAAAACGTTCATGCTCTGTCCCAACATCCCTCAACGCTTGTTCTTTCCTAACACAGTCATTTTCACTCAAAGCCGCAAGCAACGGAGATTGGGAACCACGCGCCTCTTTCTCTTCTAATCCTCTTTCCAAACATTTGTTCTTATACACACTTTTAGACAATGTTGAAGAAAACCACCGAGAGTCGGCGGCGCGTTACACATCAGTCAGACTTAGAGTGGTGGTGGGCTTAAGATTAGCAGTCAATTTTTGGTCATATTAATTATAATACCAAAAAAATATTAAATTACAAATTTAATATCATTAAAATTTTTAAATTAATAAATTTATTATAGATAAATTAAAATTTTATATATGATAAATTTGAATTTGTGGGAGGGAGCCCACCGTCAAAAATCCAATCCACGGTTTGGACAGGGCCCACCATATATGGTCGCCACGTCGACCACTGAATCAAGTGACGTGTCAACATCACACGGTGGTTTGTTGATAAAATCAGTAATCCTGATTTTGCGTCGTCCTGTACTCGGCTCCACGTCATTGGCTTGTACAATAATTTATTATTTGTTTCTTTTTTATTTTTTTTGGTAAAAAACTTTGTATGCTGATTAGGAAAATGACGTCATTTTCCATAACAAGAAAAAACAATGGTAAATGTTATTAACTATTTTGCTTTCTGTAAAATAACCATGGGAGGTTGAAATTTGCCACGTAGGACAAATTGGAGAGAGTATATGTACGTGTGTTTTTAGATCGGACATCCATAGAGAAAAAATACAACATTCTCTATCAATATACAGAAACTTTTCCTTAACAGACATGAAATTTGCCACGTAGGACAAATTGGAGAGAGTATATGTACGTGTGTTTTTAGATCGGACATCCATAGAGAAAGAAATACAACATTCTCTATCAATATACAGAAACTTTTCCTTAACAGACACATTTTAAAAGTTAGAAGAAAAATTCGGAAGAGAAAGCTCAAAGAGGATAATATCTGCTAGCGGTGGAAGAACGGAAGCCAGCAAGAACACTGGATCCCGAAGGGGGTGGATTGTGAGATCTCATATCGGTTGGAATGGGGAACCAAACATTCTAGCCTAGAAACCTCTTTCGAATTAAAACCTATCATTTTCGTTTTTTTATAATATAAATGGATTATTTCTCTCTTCTACTCAAAATAATAAATTATCTAATTGAACAAGTTTATTTATTTTTATTTTTTTTAGATTTTACTTTTATTAAAAATAAAATATTTGTATAAATGACTTAACAACCTAATCAACCTGATCTAATCTGGTCTATTTAATAACATTTGTTTAAAAAAATTTACGACACCAACAATTGAGTTGAGTCAAAATAGTGTTCAGGCATAAACGAGAACATTCCAATATGAGTCACGCTATTTTCTAGAATTGACAAAAGTGTCCCAGAATGACTTCCATAGCTTCTTTTGATTTACGCATCTAGTAGAATAGTTGTGTGTGAAAATTAGGGTATGAATCGAACAAAATATGATACCCAAATCATATATTTTTTTAGTCTCTCCCAAAATTCAATCTCAATTCCAAAATCTTGTAATGTCTTGTTCTTTACCTTGTGAGATTGATACACATCACCCTATCCTTTTAGGACAACAACTTTTGGTAGGGACTTTATGTGTAAACCGACCTAGCTACCGCTATCTGCTATCCGCTATCCAATTCTTGAAAGGACCTAAAGGAAGAAAAGAAAGTCGAAAGATTTGTGTGTCGTTGAATGTTTTCTAATGGTTAATGTATAATCGAAACTTACATAAATTTAATCAATAATCATGCTGAGTTCTTTGTTTATTTCATTTACTCTGTCAAATTTTTAAGTTTTGATTTCATCACACGAATGATATTTGACTTAAGAGTTCTACGGAAATTTTACCTTGATAAAGTAAAGGAGTTCTACGGAAATTCCTTAGTATGATGATGTCTTTTTCGCCACAAATTTTTCATAAGTTTTAAATATTTTTAATGGATAATTTATATTTTTCAATATAATTTCTACTTAAAAAAATCTAAACACTATTATACATTCAAAAATATTTTAATATAAGATTAACATAATTTCTAAAATCTTAAATTTTAATATTATTGGACAGTCGTATAACTAAATTTTGAGCTCTAATTTCAGTTAGTTGAGGCAGAGCAGAGATTTGGCATGGTCAAGGTCTGGGACAGAGAAAGGCTAATGAAGAAAAATTTCTCTCTGCTCCTTCCGTCCCCGCAGTTCAATGAAACTTTTTTCATGGACACAAATTAGATAAAGCTTTTCGTTTTTCAATATCTCTCATTTTTCATTCACATGTGAAATACTCGCTTTGGTGTCTCGGCAAATATTCTTGTTTCTTCATGTGGAAATGTTGTTCTTAAGATCACATAAATATTTATTTGATAGTCTCTTACAAAATTTTACAAATCAGGAGGCTAGAGGACTTTGCATTGATTTGCGAGCAGTACAAACTTAACCATGTTGAAGAGAATACTAAGATCATCAAACGTCGAATCTAGATTTTATTAAAGAAAAAAAAATAAAATCGAGTCTATTTATAAATAAATTAAATTTATCTCTTAGTCGACTCATTCTCGCCATGGTTGTTGTTCATCGTTCTCCTTATAAGAAAAAGATTTATAATTTAAACATAGTTAGTGCATTTTTTTTTGAAGATTTAAAAATTTAATTGTAGTGATTTTTTCTTCTAACCAACCAAAATCAGACGTTATCCAAATGAACAAAGTTTTTTAAGATTGTTTTGGATGAAAGAGCGATCAAATGGGAGTGAATTGCCGTAACCAAATCTTAGGTAAGCTCTCGAGAATCTTTTTCTGAAGCAATGGCGTTGGTGTTGATGTGAAGCTTTGTCATCCCCTCAATGCTATTTTCTATCTTGTCTTCTTATTATTACTCTTGAATTCATATTGTATACACTTTCCTAATCAATCGGAGCAGAAAAATTCATCGATTAAGGAGATGGTTGAATGCTTTTGCTATCATTTAGCATTCAGACCTTTCATGGCGTCAAAACCCTTTGTCACTAGGGCCGAGCAACCCATCGCGCCCGATCTCAACGCCGACCGATCAGTTTTTCATCGTGGGTCGTCTTCTTTCTCCTCTTCCGGTCGTCGCGATCTGGTTTTCGTTGTTAATCCTCGCGGTTCGTTTCTCGTCCCTTCGTTTTCAGCTTCGTTGTTGGAAAGATAAAATTGGTTGAGGAATGGGGATTTTATGATGTGGGGTTTGTTGTATTTTGTGGAATTAAAGACCGTAATCCCTTGAGTTGATTGGAAATTTTCTTGAGATTGTTCTTTTTACAAATTTATTTAATGCTTTTCAAGTTATCGTGCTGTTGGGTGATTTCTAGTCATGGATTTGCTCACGTTATAGCAGTAATGCAGGTGCTAATGGCAAGACGCTGAAGGAATGGAAGAAGCTCGTTCCATATCTACGCACTCGCCTTGGTGAACATTATAATGTGAGTTTCTTTTTCTGTTGGTCTCTGTAGGAAGCTTCACAATCTCCATTGAAATCTATTTAGCTTGTTGAATGTATAAGGAGCTTATTAGAAAGAATGTTCTGCGAAAGAAATGCTAGATTCGTGGACTTCGGGGATGTTTGGGAGCTGTGTTCAGAGCTACTTTTCTGTTTTTATGAGAAGAGAAGTTTAGTTCGACATGTTTGAATTTGGATATCTGTTACTCAAGAGTTGTTTTCCATATTATCTATCTATTTGTTGGCCTGTTCTTGGAGTAATTGAATTTGTTCTCCCTTCAAACGTCATGAAGAGTGGGCCTTGACATCATTTTAGAAAAGGATATTGTTAACTTTTTTAAAGGGATCACGAACATGTGCTTGCTTGGGCTTAGACTGAGAGATCTAGTCTTAGTATTGATTGAATATTGCTTTCCTTACATACAACTCACGCAAAGGTTATCCAACAACACCATTTTGATTGAATAACCATGTGATTGTAAGTAGAATCAATCAATTTGCTTGCTGCTTCTAAAAGCTCTACGTGAAATTCGAGCAGAATCTGCTTCAACTCCAGCGACAAACCCATGCGGCATCGGTCATCTTCCTTGGCTAAGTTAATTGCAGTGTCATCTTCCTTGACTAAGTTAATTGCAGTGTTTAAACGACAACGACACACAAACTTGTAATGCAACCTGCACCCTTGAGTGATCTTCTTTTCCAATGTAAGTGCGGCAGTCCCTCCTCGGTGCCAGTGAGGAACACCCAAGAACAACGGGAACCTGCTCCATCATGGCTAATTAATGACATTTTGCTGTGACCCACTTCAAGGACTTCAGATAAGATTCCCATAGTGTTTGATCCTTATTCAGCAAGGACTGAAGTCCTTTTTGGCGCCACATATATGTTAATGGTTGTTGCATCACCCAACCTCTCCACCTTTGTGCTTACCCCTAGATGCCCTACAATCTACCTTGTCCACCATGAGAGCCATGCGAACAGAGTTGGTTTTTGTTTATTATCTGAAGAAATCAGCAACGCAACCTTATCTAACTGCAACCCACGACATCGAATGGCCTTTCAAGCATGACAACTTGTTGCAACAACCTTACACAAAATTGAAAAATGTTGAATATGTGAAAATTGGGCGAGTCTGATAACCATAGAAGATTGAAGATCGTGTGAAGATTGTGTGAAGGTTTACCAACAACATTTTTGGTTAGTGAGTATCCAGTAGTTGATTATTGGAATTTGGGCAAGGTGTCAACACCAAAAGTTCAAAGAATGTGGTCATTGGAAGATTGCAAAAGCTCATCCCCCACCCTCACAGACCAAGTCCCATGGCATCACTTCTTATCCTTCTAAAATGCAACACTGTCATTGATGGAAAGATCTATTCAATCGAGCTAGATGAAAGATATAGGGGAACAAGAATAAAGTTATCTGAGATCACCCGAGACAGTTTTTTTCATTCATTGAAATGACTCTTTCCAATAGCTAAACCATTTAGATAGAGAAACTCGCCGACAAGAAGGCACTATGGCTTAAATCTCTCTACTCTATAGAAATGGTGGTCTTGAGAGACTTTTTATTCCAGTGGATGAAGAACGAAAAGGATGGATAGTTTTCCTCAACCTCATTGAAGATTATCCTTCGTTGTTCCCCAAAAACCCTGATCAACATCCAAAACCTAATGAACATCATAATAGAAAGCAAAACCATAAACATTTTCTCTGGCCCTAACAACCCTTGCATACCGTTAAAAAACCATCACAAAAGGCAGAATCTAGGGGCAGATATAGAAATATACCTTTGGATCCTCAACAAAAAGGCAAAATAGTCATCATAGAGGTTCCCCCCTCCCCCTCCCTATCCTATGTGATACAGTGATGATCATTACTTGGAAATACTTCCACAACGATTTGTTCATGATAAAAGAAGCATACAATCCCTGCTCAACGATTTCTGCTATCTTAAACTCTTTTAGGACGACAAGATGAGCCTCCATTCCACAGCAAAGGAGCAGGTCTCTTCACTTTGTAATAAAAAGGATTGGCAAAAAGTGGGAAGCTATCTATTGAAAATAGAACCGTGGTCAGATGAAAAAACACTTGAACTACCTAGTGGCTCCTTCATGAGGAGGATGGATTAAAATAGAACTGGGGAGCTCAATGTTGATCGTCTTGCCCCTTTTGTTTAGGATCGAGAAGTATGTTTCTACCTCTGTCTTTATATTTTCTGACATTTGTAGTGGTTTTTTAATGATAAGCAAGGGTTGTATGGGTTAGAAAAATGTTTGTGGTCTTGCTTTCTATTATGAGGTTGATTGGAATTTGGTTGTTGGTTAGGTTTTTTGGTGGACGATGGGGGGTAGTTTTCAGTGAGGTTGAGGAAAGTTGTCCAACACCACGCTTTTTGGACATGCATTTGCCATAGGGTGGGTGATGGAGGAAATACATCTTTTTGGACTGATTCTTGTATTGACAACACCACCCTATTTGCAGTATCCTCTTTTATATAGTCTCTTCATTGCAAGATGACCACATTCAAAGAAAAATGGAAAGATATGAACAAATTCTAGAACCTGCAGCTCTGTAGGAATCTAAAGGATAGCGAAACTATGGAATTGGCTGAATTAAGTCTTTATCTTGCCCCAATTGTGCTGCCCCAAGAAGCAGACTCATTGAAATGGCGTTCTAGTGCTGACGGGGTCTCACAAAATCTTTGATGATGTATATGAGGGAAAAGGAAAAGGTAGATGCCATAAACCTCACACTAGCAAAGACAATATGGAAAGGAAATCATCCTAAAATGAAGTTTTTCCTTTGGGAAATGGTGCATGAATCCATTAGCATAAGTGAAAACCTTAAAAAGAAATAAATAAAAAGAATGCTCTAGGTGACTCTATTTTGGTGCCCTTTATGCAAGAAAGACAACAAATCGCACATTTACTTGTTTACTTAGTGTACATATCCTTATAATTCAAGGATAAAGATCCTCAATATCTTTGGATGACACCTCATTTTTCCTAGGAGTGAAAGGAGTTATTGAATATGGTCTTAACATACCCTCTTCAAGAATGAAAAATCTCTACTATGGACAAATCTCATTATAAGTTTCTTTTAGTATCTATGGAACCAAAGAAATCAATGAGTATTCATTGAGAAGACACAAACTTATGGGCCCTTCGAGAATTTGTTTACCACATCATTTATTGGTGTAAATTGTTTCACACTTTTTCTTCCTATAGTTATACCTCCTTCATTGTAAATTTGGAAGATCTTTGTAAACATCATGGATAACATATTCCTTTTGTAAATTTCAAACATTAGTGAAATTATCTCTTATTAAAAAAAATTGAACCAATCAATTTTGCAGCTCTGGTCTACACGGATCAAATCCTCAATGACAAAGGAAGACCTTTTGATAGCTTTGTGGATAATATATCCTTCTAGGATCACTCTCGGTGTAAACTTTTTTCTTTCTTTTATGGCTACAGCCTATTTTCTCTTTTGGCCAATTGGAAGTCTCATGGTAATGCATAAGTGCCAATTGGCCTAAGGTAGCATTGAATGGCTTGGGTTTGCTTTACTCACTTTTTTTATATTTATCTCATCAATGAAATGCCAGAATGTTTCACGTTAAGTAAAAGGAAGTCTTATATTATCCTTGAAAATTTTATATCCCATTTATACCTTTTCCATTGCTCTACCTTTTTTAAATAACCTACAATTTACGTGTATTATTATTGCTTTCTTATCTACTAGTCACTTGGGCCATATTTAAATCAATATGTTGATTTTGTTTTTTTTCACTGTGGACAGATCTGTGAATCTTTGACCTCAGGTCCTTGCCATGCTATCGATATAACGAGGGAGGTTAGTATGGATTCTTTCTTTCTAGGACTTCAATTAGTTACTATCAACCTTTCTGTTGACTTAATGAGCTTCAGGCAATTCGGGAAGGTGCTGATGCTGTGATACCTGTAGGAGGAGACGGAACTTTTCATGAGGTATGAATTGTGTAATCTCATGAGAATTATTACTGTTAGTTTGGTCTTCAATGCCTAACTGGCTCAAACTCGGTTCTTAAATTACCTATTCCTTTTGTTGCTTTTGGTTTCGGTTCCACCAGAAAGCCAAGCCAAACTGCCTGCACATCTAAGTTGAATGATGTGATTGGTTTATGACCAGTATTTTCTTGTGTTTCTCTTGGGCCTCAACCAGCCTTTTGAAGACACTATTTGTTCTATTCTTTAGTTTTGGAAGCTTGAGATTTCAATTGCAATGTCTAACCTTGAGTGTTGCTTGTTGAGGAGGTCTTCTTCTCCTACTACTTAATAATGATCGGTTATCATAATCTGTTTGCAATAACGATAGCCTTTTTAGTTGGCTTTGATTCTAGCAGCCTCATGGATTGTCCATTAGATATGAGCAAGAATTCTATAGGCTAAGTAAAAGGTTCTATGATTTTGGATCCATTGTATACGTTTGTCTTGATGGATGAGGGGATTAATCTGCTTCTGATTGGCAGGTGGTTAATGGCTTCTTTTGGGACGGAAAACCTGTTGTTAATAATGATGGAGAAGTTCATAAATCAACCGCACTCGGTGTAAGAGATTGCTCCGTAGTTTCAATCTAACCTGTCTATTTCCATTACCTTAACTGCTAGTTTATCATTTGTGACTGGTTCAGATTATTTACATGAACTTATGATATTGAATTGTCAGACTACTTAATTATTGTCTCCTTGCAGCTTATACCCTTGGGCACTGGTTCAGATTTTGCAAGAACATTTGGTTGGTAAGTGCATGTTTTACTGCATTGTGTTTTTGTACAATGTGAGAGCTTGCTTTAAATTAGAGCACTTCCTCCATGTGGTTAAGCAAACTGGGTCAACATTCTTTTAATTAGGAATAACAATCCTATTGAAGCCGTGGATCGTATAGCTAAAGGTACCCTTGTTTCACTTTTTTCATTCCTATCTCTTTGCCTTTTGTTGATTAAGTACTTAAAATGGCTCTATTTATTCACCCAATAATCGCTTTCATGTAAGATATTCTCTGCAGGATTGAGGTCCCGAATTGATATTGGGGTTGTCAATAAAGAAAATGGAGAGTATCATTACTTTGCAAATGTTGCAGACATTCATTTGTAAGGTTAATCGAAACAGTATTGTTGAGGCTAACTGATTAACTCAGCTGATACCAGACAACTAATTATTATTGCGTGGAACTTTTTGCAGGAGCGCTAAGGCTGGGTTTTATGCTGCAAGATACAAGAGATTTGGAAACTTATGCTATGTTATTGGTGCTTTGCAAGGCTTTATAGGACATAAAAACAAAGACTTTAAGATTAAGGTCAGCATATAACTGTAACGGTCCATAATTGTAATGGCCCAGGCCCACCACCAGCAGATATTGTCCTTTTTTGGTTTTCCCTTTTGGGCTTCCACCCAAGGTTTTTAAAATGCGTCTGCTAGGGAGAGGTTTCCACCCCTTATAAAGGGTGTTTCATTCTCCTCCCCAACTGAGGTGGTTTCAAAATGTAGAGCATGTTAGAGAGCATTGCTACCATCATGATTTGATTTTATTTCTGTTGTATGCTATAACTTACAGGTTGACAACGGTGAATGGGAGCTGTATCCACAAGTAACTTCCTTGTGTATTGGAAATGCTAAATACTTCGGCGGTGGAATGAAAATCGTACCGAACGCTGATCCTTCCAACGGGAATCTAGAGGTAGAATTAGGAGTTAATTTGATTTCACTGTTTCCTTCGTTGTCTCATTGATTCGTGTATCGCTTGTCCTTTGTTTTTTTGTTGCAGGTAGTAATACTTCAGGATTTCAAGTGGTACGATTTCATCCTTAATTTACATAAAATATACAATGGGACACATTTGACAGTGAAAAACGTATCATCAAGAAGGTTTGTCATCTCTTTAAGCATCATATATCTGTATTTTCTTCCATAGATCTTCCATTTTCAATTGTATGGAGAATTTGTTGTGTTCACTTCTGTCAAGTTTTGCTTTATAAAAACTTTCATCCAAACTTTTATTGGAGATGTTTTGTTCACCTAGCACTGAAGCTCTAGGAGAAGTTTTATGTTGCTAAAATTTCTGGCATTCTGATGCATCCTCAACCAAAGCTATATATGATTGCTAAAATCTTTGTTGACTATAATGAACTTGGTTTGAAATTCTGGACCGACGTCCATGATTGAATAAATCTCGAGTATCATCAGTTTATCGTTGCATTTTTTTCAAGCAGTGTTCGTTCGATCGAAGTGGAAGAAGTTTCGAGCAGTGGCAGCATTTACGTTCAAGCTGATGGGGAACACTTGGGATTTCTTCCAAGGAAGTTCCATATTCTACCAGCTGCCATTGAAATGATCTGCTGAATATGAGCCAAATTTGAGTGGACAAAGTGGGTAGCAGTTTTGCTTTTGGTATTTGCTACACTCCCCTTAACGCCAATTTCTGGTTTTGTTTATATACCTTGGAGCAAAAGTTTAATTTGGTAATATATCCAACAGCATTTTAGACTAGATGTTTTTTCTCCTTTAGTTTTCTTTTTTCATTTTTTATTTCTACGTGTTCGGAGAATTCAAACACTTTCTTCCTAACGGAGCGAAGAGTATATGTCAATTATCCCTAAACTAAACTTATTTGGACCTTTTCTTTTTTTTCAGATGGAGTTGTGAGTTTTGATACTATTATTTACCGCTAATAATATTATATGGATCGAACTTAATTTTGGGTAAAATTTATTTTGATTTTTTTTATTGATATTTATTATTTTTCTATTAGAGGTTTTATTTTATTTTTATTTTTATTATTATTATTATTTTGTTACTAGTGATCAAATTTGCAAAATTTAAATAAAAGGTAAATTTGTATAACTTATTTATGGGTTTTTTTTTTATTTTTATAATATATATATTTTTTTAAAAATAAGTGGTTGAATTTTGGGATTTAAATTAGACTTTTGTTCAAACTTCTCAAATAGACTTTTAAAATTTATTGAGTGTTCAAAATGTTGGAATAGACTTTTATAGTTTCAAAAGTTCAAAGTTTATTGAGTGTCCAAAATGTTTAAAGACTTAAAATTTTGTATTTAATATATCTTTTAAGTATCTTTTAAATTTCATATAATTTTAGATATAAAATTCAACAATTAAGATTTTATTAGACAATTTAATTTTAATTTTCTATTGTTTGTCTTTTCAAATGTATGTATTAGTGTTTTATTTTAAAAAAATTCAAAATTTATTAAAATATCAAACATTCTAAAATATGTTACACATCAGATTAAGAATTTATTAAATATTTATTGTTATTATTATTATTAAGATCAAATTTGGAGGATGTTTAAACATTAATACGTGTTTAAACTTAGAATTTAATTTTTTTTAAATTTTTTTTTACAAATAAGTTTTAGTTTGATTTTATATTTTAAAATGCTCTACATATACATATATATAATCAAAGTTGAATTTGAATTATTAAATATGTGTTTTTTAAAAAAATTAAAAATAAAATAATTTTAAATATTTAATGTTTGTAACTAATATGGTAATTTGTAAATGTAAAATTTAAAAATAAAATAATTTTAACCGCGATTTGTAAATGTTTGATATTAGGCCAGATTTGTTTAAATAATTAACAAAATAACTTGAAAATAGATTGAGTTGAGATGTGAAGTCTATTCGGAGTTGCTCGAATAACTAACTCAACTAACTCGACACTTCATATTAAACTAAGACCAATCCAACGTGCATGGACCTGTAAACATTAAATATTCATTTTCGATTAATTAATTTATTGTGATAATATTGGTATGTGTTAGTTGTGGTAGGAATTATATCTTACCATATGTATGGTATTTGTCACTTTATCATAGGCATATATCTTGTATCGGTTTATTGCTTTTTTCATATGATTTTGTCTTCTTTGGGCTCCCCTTCAAGGGTTTAAAACGCGTCTCTTAGGAAAGATAAAATGTGTTTTGTTCTCCTCCCAACTAATGTGGGACATCACATGTAATTTATTTGATTATCTAAATGATTATAAATAAAGAACTTTCACTGCCATTTAGGAGCTTGGTTTTAACAAATATTCTCACATTGAACTAATCCAAATATAAGCATAAATTAGAAACACGATCCAAAGGGGACGTGTATTATGCAATACATATGAAAAATGGTGCATATTTAATTAATTCAGGTCTAAGGATACCTTGAATTTGACACATTTAACCACCAATTCATGGTAGAGAAGTAGGTGCATGTGGAATAAGAGCGATCCAGAGAATATGATGACTAAGAAAGGCTTAATAGTATTAAAAGTTACTACCTATACTAACAAAGTGCATTTTTCGGTGGCTCAATCATAGAAATTTCAAGATTAAGCGTGTTTTGTTTTGAACAATCTTATTTTGGAATATCTCCCGAAAATTTTTCTAAGAAGCATGTGAATGAAGACAAAATGTGCTACAAGAATTCGTGTTGGTCTGTTGGGACAGACTTCACTCTTAAAAATGAGAAATAAGAAACTGTGACCATATTGTAGGAGAATGTCACGGGCGTAGGTGTTGAATGCGAATCTTGAAACTTGATCCAAGTCTTAAGCATGAAGCGTATGTATCAAATCCAACTGATTTGCTCCACACATATTTTAGATTATCTCCCGAGAATCTTTCTAAGAAGCATGTGAATGATGACATGATGTGTTACAAGAATTCGTGTTGGCCTGTAGGGACAGTCTAAAACGTTATATAGCTTGTAGTTTGACATTTAAGCCAACCTTATTTCAAATTTCATTTTTTTTCCTTTTATATTTATATAATAATAATAATGATAAATAAAAAAAACCTAGCACACCACTCTTATACAAACCAATATTAAAATAACATACCTACGACATTAACTAAACGTGAACCCAACTCGCTATTCCATGACAGCAGAGAGAAGCCACTTGTACTCAATTGTTCATCACTGATATCAAATTCTAAGCTCGTAATCAATTAACATGTCGTAATTTTACTTTTATTTTAAGATTGACAAAATGGTCGGCATTGTAATTCATTTCAGACAATTATAAATCGTAAGGACTAAAATAAAATAATTTTAAACAATAGAAATATAATCGAAACAACGACCCGACCCATCGTTTTTATACATATAAACATTTTCCAATTGGCCCACCTATTAAAGACAATTCAAGTTGATAAGTTCACAAATAAATTGTGGAAAAGTTTGGCCATTGGACTTCGTCAAAAGGTGGCCACACCCATTGCCTCCCCATTAAATATGACCATATAATTTTAAATATCGTTCAAATTACCATTTTGTCCCTACATTTTCTAGCTAATTTCGATTTTATCCTATTAATTTTCAAATTAATTCTATAAAAAATAATATTAGAATTTCCATAAAATTATTTCTATCTTTCTTTTCTAAGACGTTAACACATTTTTTTTTAATAAAAAGATAAAAATATAATAATGTAACGTTCAAATAAAATATATCATATGTCAACTGTTTTATTTTTTAATTAAAAGGTTAGAAATTAAAAAAAGAATTAATTACCATATAAAATATCATCAGTATTTAATTATTTTGAGAAATTTAATTAAATTGAAAAATGAAAAAACAAAAAGACCAAAATGACCTTCAAGTTTGGCAAAGGCAATTTGTGAAAGAAACCCTAATAAACCTTCAAGTTGTCGTCTTTCTGTTTCTTCTTTGCATTTTCCGTCTCTTTTCACACCTATATTGTCACAGTCCCCACGTTTCAACTTTCCCAAAATACCCTTGCTATAATCACCGATAAAAAACCAGCCTCCCCCACTCCCAAACCCAATCAAAGCTGGCCACGTCATTATACCTACTCCCCTTGACTCACCTGCCTGTGATATTATCAAAGTCTCCTCTTCCTCTTTTTCTAATACCTCATCTCCTCCCAGTTTCCTCCACATACTGAAATTTCAACGCTGCAGAAAAAAAATCCTCCATAGAAATTTCGATCGATCTTCGTTCAACTACACGGTATATTTCGTTTCCCTCGGATGTTTTTTGATTCATTCGATACATTTAGGATGATTCTTTAGATTTTTTTCTTTTTTTCAATTTCCTAGTTCTTGGATTTTCGTTTCTTCCTTTCTCGTTCATTTTGGAGTCGTCTGGTGTGGGTTCCGGTGCTCTTTATCTGTAGGATTTTTGTAGATCTAACTCCTATGTAAGTAAGCTTTTTGATACTTGCGTTATTTTGTAATTTTTGTAATTTTTTTTTTTTGGATATCTGTTTGGTTTCTTGTAATATTAGGTTTAGATTTCCATGCTTTGTATTTGAGTTTGCTACCATCTGATTTTTTAGTGATTCTGGAAGAGATTCGTTTGTTGGAGGTTTTTAGAGGAGCGTGTAATGGATGTTTGAGGTTTTGACGATCTTTATGTTATATTTGCAACTAAAAGGATAGATTAGTAGATTTATAAACGAGATCTGACGACTTCATGTCTGAACCGCTCAGTTTCTATCCTTGGTTTTGTGATTTCGTTAAAAGGATGTACTCTATGAGTTCAATTTGATTTTAGTTGATTAGATCTCTGCAAAACAGAACTACATAAGGCAAACTAAAGTGAAATCAGTTTTGTTTTGTTTTTTTCTGCTGTCTTTGTTTTTATGATGGTTTTGAAATTGGATCTATAGGTCTATGTTTGAGATATCTGTTCTGTAAATATTCGTTGATAAGAAGAGTCTGTTTGTTTACTCTGATCTGGTTATGTGAAACTTAAGCTATATAATGATTTTGATGATTTTTTACAGCTGATATTCAATTTTCTCCCTAGTTGGGAATTAGGATGAGATGAGAAGAAATTCAGTTATATTTCCTGTCTTTAATTGTTTTGAGTCTCTGCAAATCCTGGAAATAATAATTGATTCGGACCGTGCAAGAAGGTTGAGGCGTTTATGGCTAGAAATATCATTTCTCCATCTTCTACCTATATTTACTAGGAAATTGGATATAGGGATTTTCCTGATGTTGATTGTAGATGAAAGTTTCAAATGCAATGCTCTAAAAAATGAGCCTATAAGTAATTCTAACCTTGAAGTATTCTACCTCTTTTAATCTTAAGTATTCTACCTTTTAATGTGGTTTAATACTTTTTGGCAGTCAATACATAGCATCAAGAGCTCATAGTTCACGAAAATGAGCCGCCCACAGACTCCCCCCAGACAATTTTTCCCCTTTGGTAATCCATTCCGCATGATATCTCCAAAAGGTTCGAATTTGCCTTCTAAACTTGCTGCAATATTGAATGCTTTTGAGAGAAGCCTAGCTGAAAGACTAAGAAAGCTCCATCCTTCAAGTAAAGATGACGTTCTTAGCCTTTCATGGATGAAATTAGCAATGGAGTTGCTTTGTGAAACTCACAGTGATATTAAAACTCTTATCAAGGAGTTAGATCTCCCAGTGCCGGACTGGAATGAAAAGTGGATCGATGTCTATTTGGACATCAGTGTGAAATTGCTTGACGTCTGTAATGCTATTAGCTCAGAGCTTTCACACTTGAACCAAAGCAACCTCATGCTTCGATGTGTCACCCATAATTTGGATTCTGCCGAGTCAAAGCGACTGGCTCGAGCCCGTGCTTCCTTAGGTCAATGGAGACTGAACATCAGCTCCTCAAATTCTAGAATTAAGAATTGTTGTACAATCTTAGACAGCCTTGGAGAATCACTTGATCTTCCAAAAGTAAAGAACTCAGCCAAAGGTAAGGTTCTGATGCTCGCTTTATACGGAGTGAAGGTACAGACAGTTTTTATGTGCAGTGTCTTTGCCTCCGCTTTCCTAGGTTCCCCAAAACTCTTTGATCTGAAAATTGCTGATACATATTCATGGGGACAAACTTTCTCCTCCTTGCAAATTGATGTAAATAATGAAATTAGAAGTACATACTCACATGGAAAGTTTACCCCCCTGAAGGAGCTTGAAGCTATCGACCAATGTGTGACCAATCTTCATAAAATAATCCCGGAGAATCCAGAAGTTGAGGAAGCTAAACCGCTGGAAAACGCTGTATCGGAGTTGCAAGGAAAGGCCGAGAAACTTTCAGAAGATCTTCATTTGCTTACTAATGAAGTGGACAGCTTTTTCCAGATCGTTTTGGCAGGACGTGATGCTCTGCTATCTAGCCTGAGGGGTTCATAAACCATATGGAGCTGAACTTGAGAACCTCTGTACAGGGCTAGGTTTGTCTCTCTCGTGTTTCAACTAAAGTATACTAATTAACTAACCGTAGTGTAGTGTAGTGTAGTGTAGTGTAGTGTTATAGTGTTATAGTCTTTGGTTATATGCTTAAAGGCTTTTGGGTTGTATTTCTTTAGTAACGTGTGTAAGACCTAACTTTGAAATGGTAATATGTAATATGGGGTTTCTATGTTTGAGCCAATGGTTCTTTATTTTTTAGAATTGAATTTCTTCTTTAGTTCCGACCTTTAAAATGATAATCGTAACAGTCCTAGCCCACCCTTTGGCTAGGAGAGATTTTCACCTCATAATCTTAATTTCATGATTTTAAATTTTAAGTTTTGAAATTTTAAAATGCAACGGTAATTTAAATGTTAAATGGGACTTTGATGAAGTTATTATTGCATGGTATAAAATTATTTTCAAATATGTATAATATTATATATTATAAATGGCATAATATAGTAAAATAATGATAATACAAAATTTAAACATATATCAGGTTCATAAATGAATTAATAATATTGTTAAATAATAATAATAATAATGATAATAATAATAATAATACAAAATTGATTGAAGAGTTTGCATGCCCTTATACGGACGACGTCGTCCATGTTGAAGACAATGTCTGCCTACCCGTTGATGTGGATGCCAACTCTTCTCCCTTTGCCGACTGTGAATGTGGTGGCCGTCGAGTGCAAAACTATTGAAACTCGTCCTTTTTAATGGGTGGCTTTATCTCAGTTGACGTCGTCTTAGACTGTCTTTACCTGAAAAATAAACAAACGCGGAACAAAATATTAGCAACCCTATTGTTGAAGTCAGAAAATACAATCACATGCAATATGGTTTATTGGCGGGATCTACTTTTCATGATTGTTTTTAAACGTTCCTTGAACTTTATTATTATTTTTTTCTAATAGGGTTACGTGCATGATACTATTCTACACATAGTTCATATATGCACACATGAGCTCATTAGACTAGTTCATATACGTATTCCCTAGGCCTAACTATATAGGCTAGCACACGCTTACATTGTTGAAAAATAACAAAAAAAAAAAAAAAAAGATCGCGTATAATATATCATGGTATATGCACTCGTATGTAATATATTGGAGAAGTAATCTATGCTCATAACATACCACATGCATGATGATGTTCAACATTTAGCATCATGATATAGTATAATGTAGCATATAGTATTTCTTACATGTTCATAAATACTTCATACATGCTCGTAATAACTAGTGTGTTATAGTATCCCATGAGACATAACATAATCATGGCAACAAGATAACAAGAGCCAAATTAAGAAGTACATGCACGAAAAATACTAGCACATCGCGACATAGAACTTTCGGCTAAGTATTAGTTATCTAAAAATTTTGGTCTCGTGGGTTGAGTCCTAAAATTTTTTTGGTCTTATGGGTTTTCAAGTTTTTCATTTTAGACGTTGTTTAACTGAAAATTTTATTTATGATACTAAAAAGATATTATATTTAAAAGTACGAGACCTAAAAGTTATCTTATTATATGAAAATGTTATCAAGATTTTAGATAAATAAAATATTTTCAACAATTTTACTACCCACTTATTTTTAGGTAATTAATTAGGGTGTAAATAAATAATAATTTTTTTTATTAAAATAATTAAATACCTATTTAAATAAATTATAATTGATTTATTATAATTAAATAATTAAATTATAATAATTTTGTAAACTAATATCAATTAATTAATAAAATTTATTCAAAACAAAATAAAATAAAATAAGCTGGGAGAATAAATAGCCGTCAATATTAATAATTATTCTCAAATAAATTATTTTAATATAATTGTAAATGAGTAATATGGATAATGGAACTCAAAAATTAATTATACATATTATATTTTAAAAAACTAAATATAATTTATTTATTTCAGTTCTTCTAACATAAAATACAGTATTTCAATTTATTATCATTTTTCAAGCCTTTATAAACTGATTGATACCTAAAATAACATTTATTAAGAAAAAAATAAATTAAAAAAAAAAAAGCTAAATGAAAAATAAATAATTGAAGGAAGAAATAACACAAAATAAAAATAAAGAAAATTTTGAAGTCTGCAAGTTTTCCAGTCAATCCAATAAATTTTATTGGTGAATTTTATTTTTTCATTAATTGTATTGTTTGAGGAATTTATGTTTTAGTTTAGAAGATAAGTGTGAAAATCATATTTTTAAATTAAAAATTAAATAAGAAAAATTATTTATATGTTCTAAGAAATTAAGTTTGGAAAAAAAAAAAAAAAATCATGGGCCAAAAGTCGGTCATAACCATTTTTCACGGTTTAGGCAGCTTGACTTGATATCTCTCAACTCTGTCCAATCATCTTGGACTGTCACAGAGTTGTTTCTGACGTTTTTAGAAGCGTTTGAGGTCAATATGCCCATTGTTAGATAAATTAATAGTATGTTTTGCCCTGATTCATGTCGTGGGTTTGCATAGGATAAATTGAAGTTAAAGAGCTTGTTCACGCTGGTTCCAAGGATAATTAATAACTCCGACCTAGGTTAATTAGATAATGGGCTCTAGTATTGGCATGATGGAATGAACTAAATGAAGTATGAATGGCAGATACTCTATGACCTCTGTGCCGTATTTTATGACTATTGTAACATGTATTATGTTATGTGATACTATGACTTATGTTATGCTAAGTTAATTTTCATCTTTTGGCTGTTTGATCTCTTTAAAACGTTAAAATAAGATCTGATATCTTGAGTTTAAAAGGTTCCAACCATAAAAAAATTTATATTAACCGAGAATTATTTATAGAAAACTTTTTAATGTATAAAAGATTATTTATAGAAAAGAAATGTAAGGTCAAACAAACTTTTGATTAGAGTCATAATGAAACAAAAGAATCAACTTTTTTTTTTTCAAATTAATAAAAAACAAAAGTTGATCAGTCGTCCATGAAAATGTGAACTAGGAAGAGCACACGCACGCGGGCCGCCCAGTCTTCTCGAAGTCGTCCTAATTGAAGTGCGTTTTCCTCTCAACTTCTCCTAATTCTCCTCTGCCCACAGATCATTCTGGAAACTGCTCAGCTCGCTTTCCCTGCAGATTCCAACACACCCATCTTCAAATTCGTCCATCTCTCAAAATCCCAATTCAGTTTTAGCCTCAATCTCAAGTGGGTAATCTTCGTTTTCGAATTTTCGATTTGGGTTTCTTGTCAATTTTGATATCACACTTCCTCCTTTGGACCTCCGGAGTGTCAATGGAGTCCGGTTCTTTTGATCAGAACATCAGGGGAGTGCCCACCCATGGCGGTCGATACATTCAATACAATTTGTATGGGAATCTCTTTGAAGTTTCTAGGAAGTATATTCCACCCATAAAGCCAGTTGGTAGAGGAGCTTATGGTATTGTCTGGTATGAAGCTTCTCTACTTGATTCCTTTTGCTTGTTCTTATTTGTTCTTCATTCAAATTATGGGTTTGACTTGTGCTACTTTGAGTCTAACTTTAACAAGAATTCTTGATTTAGATGTATAAACTTTGTGTTGATTTCCTCATTTCTTATGGGCTTATGTGTTCTCGATCTTACTAGGATGCACTCATTCTGAGACTGTTCTGAGTTATGATTTACTTCCGATTACTTAGTTTTTCGATTTCATTGTGTTGGGTAGTGATTTAGATTCTTTTGGAATGGAGATGTGATAGGCTACATTTGCTCCATTTTTCATTGGGTTGACTCAAGTGTCGAACAAAAGGTGTACTTTGTTCGAGGACTCTAGAGAAGGAGTCAAGCCTCGATTAAGGGGAGACTGTTCGAGGGCTTCATAGGCCTCAAGGAAGGCTCCATTTTTCATTGTATTGGCTCAAGTATCGAACAAAAGGTGTACTTTGTTTGAGGACTCTAGAGAAGGAGTCGAGCCTCGATTAAGGGGAGGTTGTGCGAGGGCTTCATAGGCCTCAAGGGAGGCTCTATAGTGTACTTTGTTCGAGGGGAGGATTGTTGAGGATTGTTGGGAGAGAGTCCCACATTGGCTAATTTAGGGAATGATCATAGGTTTATAAGTAAGGAATATATCTCCATTGATATGAGACCTTCTAGGGAAGCTCAAAGCAAAATCATGAGAGTTTATGCTCAAAGTGGACAATATCATACTATTGTAGAGATCCGTGATTCCTGACAGTATAATGGTAATGAAAGTTTTCATATAGGAAGTTAAACCCATCGTTCGGGGTCTTCTTCCTATTCAATTACCAGTTATGGTAAATTTATCTGGGATAGAGATTGTCATTTGGAACTTTTTGAATAAGTTTAGATCTCTTTGGTGTGGCTAGATTCTTGCTGCATATAAGCATTGGAATTCCTATAGAACATGAATTTTATAGGGTTCTGATCATTTTTGGATTAGTTTTTTGAGGCAAGATTTGAGGTTCTTCTTTAAATTCTTGTGACATAGCTTTTTTTCTTTGTTCATATTGTTTTTGTACAAAAGTAATATGAACAATTAAAGCAAGACATTACTTGTTTGTACCCTTCAGTGCTGCTACTAATTCAGAAACAAATGAGGAGGTTGCTATTAAGAAGGTTGGCAATGCATTTGACAATAGGATTGATGCTAAAAGAACCTTGCGGGAAATCAAGCTTCTTCGTCACATGGATCATGAAAATGTAAGTTCTTAGTATCTATGAGTTTTGTTATTTTCTTGATCTTAAATTCATTATTCAAAGAGATGTAACAAAGGGTTGAAGAAGGATCTTTCATGTTCTCGCTATGATTTTAAGAGAATTTATTAGTCCATCACGATCACTTGATAGAATACATCGAACATTTTCCGCGAGTTTTACCTTATACCATTGTAATGGCCCAAGTCTACCGCTAGCAGATATTGTCTTCTTCGGGCTTCCCCTCAAGGTTTTTAAACCGCGTCTACTAGGGAGAGGTTTCCACACCCTAATAAAGGGTGTTTCGTTTTCGCTGGCACTCGTTCCCTTCTCCAATCGATGTGGGACCCCCCAAATCCACCCCCCTTCGTGGTCCAGCGTCCTTGCTGGCACACTGCCTCATGTCCACCTCCCTTCGAGGTTCAACCTTCTCGTTGGCACATTGTCCAATGTCTAGCTCTGATACCATTTGTAACGGCCTAAGTCCACCGTTAGCAGATATTGTCCTCTTTGGGCTTTCCCTTTCGGGCTTCCCCTCAAGGTTTTTAAAACACGTCTACTAGGGAGAGGTTTCTACACTCTTATAAAGGGTGTTTCGTTCTCCTCTCCAACCGACGTGGGATCTCACAACCATCCTCTTGTGACTTTTTAGTTCATATCTTTGCTGCAACTATGTGACCATGTGGGCTGACTTGTTTTCTTTTTCTTTCTCAACTGCAGATCATTGCTCTTAAAGATATTATAAGACCTCCTCAGAAGGAGAATTTCAACGATGTGTACCTTGTTTATGAATTGATGGATACTGATCTAAATCAGATAATACGGTCCAACCAATCGTTGACTGATGACCATTGTCGGGTTCGCACCTCTTCTCTCCTCGGAATTACAATACCATGAACGTTTCTAGGCATTGGAGTATTTATGAATTTCAACGACTTAGATCCCGTTTAATAATCATTTAGTTTATGAAAACATTTACCATGGTTTTCATCTTTCCGAAGAAAACGTTTGAATTACATAGATGGGACATGATAGTGTTCTTGACTAAGAAGAAACACTATATTAGATTTTATCTTATTAATACTTTAAATTTTCGATGTGCAGTTCTTTCTGTACCAGTTGTTACGAGGCCTAAAATACGTACATTCCGCTAATGTTCTACATCGTGATCTGAAACCAAGCAATTTGTTCCTCAATGCAAATTGTGACCTAAAACTTGGGGACTTTGGGCTTGCAAGGACAACTTCTGAGACTGATTTTATGACTGAGTACGTTGTTACTCGGTGGTACCGTGCACCGGAATTGCTTCTTAATTGTTCGGAATACACTGGAGCAATAGACATTTGGTCTGTTGGCTGTATACTTGGTGAAATTATGCACAGAAAACCACTGTTTCCTGGAAAAGATTATGTCCATCAGCTAAAACTTATTACTGAGGTACACTTGCTAGTTATCATGATCTGCCTTAGCTTCCTAGTTTTTGCTCTTCACCGAACATTGGGTACTAAATGTATGAGATCTCACGTCAGTTGGAGAGGGGAACGAAACATTCTTTATAAGGGTGTGGAAACCTCTCCCTAATAGACGCGTTTTAAAAACCTTGAGGGAAAGCTCGAAAGGAAAAGTCCAAAGAGGACAATATCTACTAGTGGTAGGCTTGGGCTGTTACAAATGGCATCAAATCCAGGCACCTAGCCATGTGCCAACGAGTAGGCTGAATCTCAAAGGGGGGTGGACACCAGGCGGTGGGCCAGCGAGGACGTTGGGCTCTGGAGGGGAGTGGATTATGAGATCCCACATCGGTTGAAGAGGGGAACAAAACATTCTTTATAAAGGTGTGGAAACCTCTCCCTAGTAGACGCGTTTTAAAAACCTTGAGGAGAAGTCCGAAAGGAAAAACTCAAAGAGGACAATATCTACTAGCGGTGGGCTTGGGCCGTTATGATTGAACCCGAGGAAATAGTCATGATTTGGAAGCAACTGCAACCTAGTTGCAAGTTGAATCTTCTACATTGACTTGAATTGATAGTCCTGATTAGTCACCTTTCAGTTTTACTTTTTCAAATGAGTATCTCTCTGTTCTTTATGATTGTTCAATCACCATGGTGTTGATTTCGATTCTAATCTTACACTGTTTTCCTTTTGGTTTGTGCAGCTCATTGGGTCACCTGACGACTCGAGCCTCGGGTTCTTACGAAGTGACAATCCACGAAAATATTTTAAAAATATTCCTCACTTCCCGAGGCAACCGTTCTCCACTAAATTTCCTACGATGTCTCCTGCTGCTATCGACTTGCTGGAGAAGATGCTTGTCTTTGATCCTACTAAACGCATTACAGGTACATATTAATCCATAGAAAACCTTTAGCCAATATTTCTCTTTGCATTTTCTCTTTCCTGTTTTTTGTATACATCTAGATCGAGAGTGTGTATTGTTGTGCGATTCTAACAAGAACTAAGAATAGTCACAACAAAACTACGTATAGATTTTCGTTTCCTTTTCTTCGTGTGGATGGTCATATCGAACCTTGATGCTTTGCAGTTGATGAGGCGTTGAGGCATCCATACTTGGCACCTCTTCATGATATCAATGAGGAGCCAGTATGTCCGAGGCTTTTCAGTTTTGACTTCGAGCAACCGTCGTTTACCGAAGAAAACATCAAGGAACTTGTATGGAGAGAATCCGTGAAGTTCAACCCGGATCCTGCTTGATGAAGATCATACCAATTTGTTGAAGAAAATATTGGACAATCTTAGCTGTTCATTCTTTTCCCAGTTTTCTTCTTCTGTGTTGCATTGGTTTGTGGTGTAAAAGAGATTAATGAAACTATCTTGTTGTTTGCCACTTTGTGAACTAAGTTATGAACTCAGTTTCTTAACTTGAAATAAGTTTAGAAAGTTTTAATTGTGTTTATGAGTTTTAGTTATAGTTTATGCTCGTTTTATTGATTTATTGTTGTCCACTCAAATTATGTCTACTCGTGTCAAAGCTAAAATACCAAATATACTATAGGAGATGCGTCTACCTATTAATTCTTCCTACCCAGGTTATACGCTATCAACGATTTTCAAATGCTTTCTAACCTTTCTTTTATTGCCGTTTTCTAAAATATTTTATGAGAAATGAGATTAAACGACCCAAGTTCTAGTGGGCTGATTCTCGAAGGTGAGAATAAGTGGCGCACAATTACGTTTCGCGATTCGCGACTGTGACACTAAAAATGATATTTTTTTTTAGTGCAAATCCCGACCTTTCATTTAAGGTTTTAACCATTTTTCTACATTGAATTATTCACAAAAACGTGTAATTGGGAGTAATTATTTATAATTTGAAAATATTGTAAAGAATGGAACTAAGTGGAATTCGTCTTCAAATCTTAGCTGTATCAAGAAGTGTGATGGTTCCATTTGGACCCTATCAAACGCGGTTTTCTTGATCACGAATCTCCCACTCTTCTTCTTCTTCTTCTTCATCTTCGTCAATTTCTTCTGAATTCTCTTCCAATGGAGTTTCTTAAGCTAATTCTCTTTGCTCTTTTACTTTCTTCCTCCGCCGTTCCAATTCTTTCCTATTCTCATTTCTCTCCGGTCGATCATTACCTCGTCGACTGTGGGTCAACCCTAAAGTCCACCGTCGATCATCGCATCTTCCTCTCCGATTCATCCCCTTCAAACTCTCCTTTTCTCACCGCTCCTCACTCTTTCTCCCTCAGAAATGAACACCCCTTCGAGGGTTTGCCCCCGATTTACAGCTCGGCCCGCGTTTTCGAGGCACCGTCCAAGTACGAGTTTCAGATCAGAGACAAAGGGACGCATATGGTACGTCTCCATTTTCAAACTTTTAGTTCCTCAAATTTGGATTTGATTCGTGCTCAATTCCACGTTCTGGTTAATGGGTATGTGATTTTGAGTAATTTTAGTGGGGTCTCTGCTGTAAACCCTAGAATTAAGGAGTTCCTTATCTGGATTGGAACTGAAACCCTTGAAATTACCTTTGTCCCTGTTAAGAAATCCAATTTGGCTTTTGTTAATGCGATTGAAGTTATTTCTGCGCCTAAAGATCTTGTTGCTGATACTGCAAAATACTTGAGTTATGAACATAGTGGAGTTGTTGATGGTTTGTCCAAGCAAGGGCTTGAAGTTTTGTACAGGGTCAATGTTGGGGGCCCTAAAGTGACCCCGTTTAATGATTCTTTCTGGAGGACTTGGCTTCCTGATGATGAACACTTTGAATCCATTTGGGGATCAAAGAAAGTGTATTCTACTGGAAGAATGAAGTATCAAGCTGGTGGGGCGAGTCGTGAAGTTGGTCCTGACAATGTTTACAACTCCGCCAGAGTGATCCAAAGTACAAATTCTTCGGTTCCAAATATGAACATGACATGGACATTCCCTGTAATTGATGGATACAATTACATTGTTCGCTTGCATTTTTGTGATATTGCAAGTATATCAATTGGTTTTCTGTTTTTCAATATCTATGTTAACGGGTACATGGCGTATGAGAATTTCGATCTCTCGAGCGCTACTAATTGGGAACTTTCTTCTCCGTTCTATGTTGATTTCATGGTTAATGGTGGTCAAGGAGGAGTTCTTAGAATTGGTATTGGAAGCTCTAATCAGAGTGTCCCATATGCTGTAGATGGTCTACTAAATGGAATTGAGATCATGAAATTGAATAACTCTTTGGGTAGCTTTGATGGTAGCCTATCTGCAGAGATGGTTTTGAAGGGATGTCGAGGATACACCGTTAATTTAGTTCCATATGTAGTGATTTTGTGCTTGATCGTAAGCGTGTCGCTGATGTTACGTCGGAAGGTGATCGGGAGGGACGAGTCTTTCTCGTGGTCGAAACTTCCAGTGGTGGATAGTTGGAGAGATAAATCTAGCATGGGAGTAGACAATCACTAGTTAAATTCGTTTCTTTTAGGGTTTGTTTGTTGAAATCTGTAATGATATTTTGGAAGTTATTGAGAGAACAATCTCAAGGAAATGTCATATTTATACGCTTATATATGTTGTGATATATCAGAGTACTAATAAATTTATGGTGTGGAACAGCTACTTTAAATGCTTTATTGTTTTAAATCTCTCTTCATGTTGATCTATCTTTAGTCAAAGCACCCTCAATTGCATTCATGAACTTAGTTTTATACTATGTTTTTACAACAATTCCTAATGTAGACACTAGAAATATATTTGGGGCCTATTCCTAATCTAGATACTTGAAATATACTTCTATTTGATAATAAACACTACTCAACTTGTATGTAACATAGCCCACCGCTACATAATGTATATTTTGGCACGTTACGTATCACCGTCCGATTTTAAAATGCGTTTGTTAGGGAGAGGTTTTCACACCGTTATAAGGAATGCTTCGTTCCCCTCTCCGGCCGATGTGGGATCTCACAACCCACTCCCTTGGGGGCCAGCATCCTCGCTAGTGTACCACCTGGTGTTTGACTATGATACTATTTGTAATAACCAAGCCTAAATATTGTTCATTTTGGCCTGTTACGTGACTCACACATTCAAAGAAAACATATGCTAACTTTTACACCACTGCTAGCGGTGAGCTTAGGTTATTACTCTACTACAAGCATTGAGCTTAAGCTAATACACCACTGGGGCTATTACTACAAGCAATGAGCTTAGACTAATACACCACCACCGGCAAGTTTATTTGTTTTGTTATCCACTTTCGAACAATATTTTCAAAATTTAAGTCAGTTGTGAGAACTTCGAAGAAAAAAATTGGTTACTTAAAACTTTTTTTTATTTTTGAATCAAAAGAATTCAAACATTTTTTAGGTAAGAATCATATTATAAACCTTTACTAGGTTTAGTGTTCAAGAGAAACAGATCTATAACCCTCAAACAAATGAGGATGCAATCTCTTCAATTAGTTGTTCAAAACACCATCTTCTAAAGGGCTCTCCATTTGACATTGCTAAGCCGCTGCAAATGTATTTAACATTCTATCCATATTTAGTACAAGACTCAAAGCACTAAGCTAATGCAACAGGTTTGATTAAAATTTTAATTTAAATAAGGAATTACTGTAAGAGAAATAATACTTGCTACAATGTGAACATTTGCAGCAACTTTACAGATAGCCTTCCTAACATTACTGAACCACCCTCACCCAATAGAACTCTTCACAAAGGGGGAGATAACCATATACACAACATTGAATTACGATTATAAGGTGAAGAAAGATAACTGCTTGGCTGAGAGACTTGTAACCTCCCCAACCTGCAAGGCTGTTAAGAATAATCACGAACATTTTATTGAAACTCTACCCATTACTATTTGATGCTTGGGTCGAAACTACAACTTCCCTGTGCTCGATGTTAACGTGTCGATGCTCGATCAAATGTACTTCGATCTATCTGCAATCTGTCACCAAAAACCAGTGAGGTAATCCCATTGGACATGGAAATGAGTGACCATGTCATTTGGCAACAGACGGTAGATGAAGATGAACAATGGTTAGAAGCTAGTCCAGACACTATTTCTCATCCAAGTTTTCCGTTGATAGAAGTTTCTCGTTCAAGTCTTCAAGCAGATCATGATACTCGGCAAAGGATGACTACAAGGATACGAAACAAAACATTATCAGAACAGCATTCGATTCTCGTCTTTTAATTACTTTGATTAACATGGAAGATTACAAGTACTCTGAAAAGTTCAGCACGAACTTTACCTGTAGGGTGCTCTTATATGCTTCCCACAACCGCAGATCATGCCTAAATAGATCAGACAGAACCTGTAAAAATTGAACAAATAATCGAATTTGATGAGTGTCACTGATATTGGCAAGTTGAGACGAAAGATCTTGAGATGTGTGTTGGCTTTTGTACTCATTTTATTGGAAAAGAAAATGCTTCAGATAGATACACGTGATAAAATGATATTTTATGACTGTTACATAAAAATGCAGAAAGTTCTTTTATTTCCAAGTGCAGTATGTTAACAGGCGGAAGGAAATACATCCCTTAATTTCTTTTGTAAATACCTAAGGTTTGCATAAAACTTTTCGAATTGAATGAATCTAATCTAAGTTTTTCTTTCTCCCTATTGTGAAACATGAAGGATGCAATGGGTGAAATTTCCAAACATATACACAAATGTAATCAAGAGTAAGGTGCATACTTCAGACCGTCTTAGAAGAGTGGCTAAAACAACAATCCATTCCTTGAACTTAACAGAGCACATATGAGCCAAGAGGAAATCTGCATCCAACCGGCTTTGAAGTGTTCCCATTTGAAGCTGGACAAGAAAGATAAGCTCCACAGTAAGAACATAGTAACCCCCCTTTGGGAAAATTGCATGATGCTGGAAGCAAAATTACAAAATCTAGCTATATTTATGGCTTCAAAATGGTACAACAATATATTAAGTAAGAAAAGCTGGTTGTCGATTATGCAGATATGAAAGTATTAAAGAATAAATTACATCATTATACCAGATGCTCGAAGTATGCAATGTTATAATATAATATAGTAACCTTATCAAGTTGTCACTTAATGGAAATAGTGGGAACCCATTACTTTTTATGGCAATAATCGGGATTAGAGCCTCTCATCCTCACATGAGCAACTAATTTCACTTGATACTACAGATTGAACAAGAAGAGTGTCGAGAATCTGTATACCCAAAAAGAGAGTTCAGAATTGGATCATAAAGTTCTAATACCTTCTCCCCAATTAGTTCAAGCCCTGATGCAAAATCCTTCAAACGAGCACTTCCATATCTCTCCCTTTGGAGATATTCCTGCAAACATTACAATTATAACGCAAATCCAATATGTAGAATCAACCTGAACATTCAAAAAGTTTTTAAAATAGCTTTTCCCTACCACTAAATCAAACTGCGTTCCTTTGACAAATGCTACAAGCTTTGATAGTT